GAAATTCCAGAAATTCCAGAAATTAAGATAATAAATTTTAGATTTGTTTCGAATTACAAGTTTAAAAAGTTTTCCTACAAAGATAACGCTGTCACACGTTCCAGTTTCTGTGTCACCATATGTCAGAAAAGTAAATCTTTGAATGATGCATATACGCAAGTCAATATTGTACAATAGTTTTAAAGTTGATTATTATTAAAAATGGACAATGTATTGTTGTTATTTTTTGTTGTTGTTTTCTCGTCATCAACCAAACCATGGTCAAAGTTGGCGGATTGTATACTGGTTGTATATTTCGTGTTTCAGGGACGTCCGTCACGCGAGTATCGGTTTACACTCGCTAGTCATGCACCGGGTTCCTATTCCTGTCTCTAGCTTAGTCACGCTGTTCCGTTCTGACATGTTCTGACCATATACACGTCGTGTTCTTTCTCTCTTTTACTTTCAAATCGAACCAAGAAAACGCCCTCTCGTCGGTTAGTTCTTCGGTTCAAAACAATCTCTAGCCGCACTCGTCACGAAAAGCGCCGTAATTGATTAGGTTGTTGTTCTTGGTGGAAGGTGAAAAAGCCTTAACTGACTGTTTGCGTAACAAAAGCGTCATTTAACTAAGCATTAAATTCGTTCAAGACATTTTAATGCCAACATATTATGATACTATGATGCCAATAACAAATGCAAGAAATAAATTCTACTGAGCAATCCATAATTTTAGCTGTACTATAAAGGATACGACAAATCTCGCTTTTGTTATGAGTTTTGTTTTGTAATTTGAAACGAAAAAGATTTATCAGTATCTTAATTTCTGGAATTTCAGCTCTTTCAGCTCTTTCAGCTCTTTCAGCTCTTTCAGCTTTTTCAGCTGTTTCAGTTTCAGCTTTTTATCGATACCCTCCCAAATGTGTACTAGAGTGCATTCATTACATCTGCAAATATTTTGGAACTGAAATTCCACAAAAAATGTACTAATTAAAAAATATTCTCTCTTCAATTGTCAAATATACTGCAAAACTTTCAATACACTCTACATAGGACAAATTGAATCAAGTGGCAATGATAATATAATGCATTTTAGTCTTATTCTCATGGTATATTACTATACACATTGTATGGTTTCATTAGTTTGTCACTTGGTATGTTTTGATTTTGGTATCATGATTCAAGTCCCTTACCGAACATATTATACACAATCAATTTCTGTAAAAGCTTTGAAATTGTACAAAATCAAATTTTGTCTTCATTCTCAAACAAGAGCATGACTTAGATGACCATTCTTGCCTTGATTACCATTCATAAATTCTACAATATTTCACAGATTTGGTCTTTTTACCAACAATTGCAATCTTTACATAGTGAAAACGTTTTTAACATTATCCCATGTAATAACATAATTAAAAATGCTGTACAAATTATAAAGTTTGGTTATGTTTAAAGAATCATATAACCACCCGTCGTACCTTGCGCGTTCGCATTATTGTTTACATACGTTTCAATGCGTCAAGCATACAATAAATTATAGATTGATAGTACCTGTGAGGTACTTAGTTAAAGTTATTTCTGTCCAAACTGTAAGGACGGAAGACGATTGACGCTCACTTTAAGAAATCCTACAAATCCGCCATTTTCTTGTCCACCTAAAATGGCGCTTCGGTTCGCAAGGTACGGCTGGTGGTTATGATTCTTTAAAGTTGAGTTTTAATACAGTTACAATGTGTGCATTTATTTGGAAGTTCTTATTAAACTGATTTTGTTAAGAACAATGAACTCTTAGTTTAGTTTACTTTAGTTTTGTTTATTGTAGGTCTCACAGGAAATGTAAATTGTAGTATATTTAAAGTGATATGTAAATATAATTTAGTCATTCTTGACAAGCAAACGAACAGCACACAATTTGTAAGTAGTACTTGAATTTTGATTTCTCTTTTTCCTTTACATGTAATAAGCTTATTATATATTTATTGCAATTTCAGTTGACTCTCTCTTCTATATATATTAAAATATATTTGATCGAGTGCAAAAACGTGTGTAAATCACTTCAGATTTCATTACACTTTACCTCTTTTGAGTGAATGTGAATATTAGTTTCCAATTCACTAGGTTTTCTTTGTTATTCATAGGGTTGTATATGTTAAAGGACTAAAAGACACTGTTGGAACGTTGTTTATTCGTAGTTATCGGCCATCTTGACTACAACTCGACTCGACCTAGTCCTACTCTTATTACATAACACAGGGATACTATAACATCCCCCTCTGTTATATATTCATTATGCTCACGTCAGTCGTTACGCGCATGCGCGCGGGACCATGTGCTCGAGAGAGAACGGCCATGTTTGTCTTGTAAGATTGCTGTAATAAAGTTCTAGTTCACGACCAGAGTTTTAGTATTTAACAACTGGCGACGAGGATAAAGTACTACAAAAACTTTCCGTTTTTAAAGATGGCTCAAGCACAGGTGGGCACAATTGAACCTTTTGATGGAGATGACTTCTCTGATTACAGCGAGCGACTCGACTCATATCTATTTGCCAATAACATTGGAAAAGTGGCCGCCGATGCCAACGAAGACACCAAGAAAGAAGCAGATAGACAAAAAGTGGCTRCTACAATTTCAGTTATAGGAAAAAAGGCCTATAAAGTTCTGAAAGACCTCTGTTTACCCGAGAAACCCACAGATAAATCCTACAAACAACTCACGGAAATCCTTACAAATTTTTACAAACCCAAGGTACTTGAAGTAGCTGAATCGTATCGTTTCCACCATACAATTCAAGGTGAGAATGAATCTGTTACTGAATACGCCAATAAGCTTAAGCGTCTAGCTGTGCACTGCAATTTTGGCCCATACTTAACTAGAGCTTTAAGAGATCAATTTGTGGGGGGAGTAAGAGGTCAAAGTACAAAGAAGAAGTTATTGTCAGAGGACAGAACATTTGAACAAGCTCTTAAAGTAGCTCAAGCCGATGAACTAGCAGAAAAGGAATCTAAATTGCTTTATACCAACACTGAATCAATTGATGTTAATCAACCTGTACATGCCTGTACTGCATCCAACTTGAAAAGTAAGGCCCAACCTGTCTCCACTACCTTCAATACTAGTGGTAAAAAATGTTTTAGATGTGATTCTACACAGCACCTAGCTGATAAGTGCAGCTATGTTAATGCTACTTGTTATTCCTGCAATAAAAAAGGCCATTTGTCTAAAGCTTGTTTTAAAAGAAAGAAAGAAAGTGAACCAAAGGCCCAGACCAATCTAGTTACAACCACTACTATTGAAGTTCAAGATCAGGAAAACTTTCAGAATCCACAAACTGTTTACATGCATAGTGTAAATACCTCTGCCAATACCTCATTATACAAACTTACTGTTAATATTGAAGATGCAAATGTTAAAATGGAAATTGATACTGGTAGTGCAGTCACCTTATTAAATACCAGTGATTTTAAGAAGGTGGGGGGCAGTATTAGTACCCTTAAACCTAGTACTGTGGTGCTTAAAGGCTACACAGGGAACACTATCAAGTGTTTAGGTGAGAAAGAAATGAGTCTGCGAGTGGGGGATCAAGTACATGATCTCACAATAAGAGTGGTGGACGGCCCCTCCTTGTTAGGGAGAGATATGATGTCTAAGTTTACATTGCCCTGGCATAACATATTTAATGTAGTATCCATTACTTCTGATGATATAGTACAGCAATACTCCACTCTTTTCGATAATACTTCAGTGGGAAAGTTAAAGGATGTCCAAGTTTCATTGAAAGTCGATGATTCCAACCCAGTGTTTCTAAAACCCAGAGTGGTAGGATTCTCTGTTCGTGATGACTATGAAATTGCACTAGATAAACTTGAAAAAGAAGGTATCATCGAGAGAGTTGAACATTCAGACTGGGCTTCGCCAACGGTTCCWGTTAAGAAGCCTGATGGTAGTATCAGAATATGTGGAGATTACTCTGGTACAATAAATAAGTTTGCTACTTTGGAACAGTACCCAGTACCTACGTTTGAGGAATTACTGAGTACAATGTCTGGAGGTATGAAATATACTAAACTTGACCTTTCGCAAGCATACCACCAGTTAGAGCTAACCCCGGAAAGTAGAAAGTACACTACTATTAATACACACAAGGGTTTGTATCAGTACAAGCGCCTTACGTTTGGAATTAACAGTGCAGTGTCTATTTTCCAGCGCACGATTGAAAATGCCTTGAAGGGCTTGCCTGGATGCTGCRTCTACATTGAYGAYATWCTARTTACAGGAGAAACAGATGAAATCCACTTACAAAACCTACATAAAGTACTCCAGCGCCTACAGGATCTGGGACTAAAGTTGAAGAAGGATAAGTTTTACTTCATGATGGATGAAATTGTGTATTTAGGTTTCTCCATCTCGGCAGCCGGTGTCGCCCCTACAAAAGAGAAGGTRGATGCTATACGTCAGGCTCCTCCTCCAAGTAATGTCGCTGAACTTCAGTCCTTTATTGGATCTGCAAATTTCTTACGTAAATTTGTATCAGACTTTGCARACATTATGCACCCTCTATATCAACTGCTTAAGAAAGGGACCACGTGGAGATGGGGATCACAGGAGCAAAGTGCTTTCGCTCAGATCAAAGAAGCCATGTGCTCCGACACTGTTCTTCGACACTATGACCCTGCTGCGGAGTTAATTCTTCAGTGTGACGCCTCTTCCATCGGGATTGGTGCTGCATTATTACAACCTGGCCAGGATGGGGAATTACAACCTGTTGCTTATGCTTCTCGAACTTTAAGTCAAGCTGAACAAAATTATTCCCAGATTGAAAGGGAATCATTAGCCATTGTTTTTGGGATTACCAAATTTCGTCAGTACCTTCTTGGAAGACATTTCAAACTACTAACTGATCACAAGCCCCTAATTATTTTACTTGGAGAGCACAAACCAGTTCCACAGCTTGCATCGGCAAGAATAAAG